AAGGGCAAAGGCAAAAAGTTTTCCCCCAAAAAAATTGGTTTTTAAAAACCCCCATTTTTAAAAAAAAAAAAAAAAAAAAAATAGAAATTTAAAATAAAAATTGATTCAACTTTTTCCTCCACATTTCGTATCGAAATAGTCGGTAGTTCCCTTGTCGTTATGGAAAAAAATCAGCTCTTCAATTAAGACTAAAAGTTTTATTTTTAGTTTCGATTTTTTTCTCTTCGCTGTAAATCATTTCATTGGATACTTTTCGCAATCATTTTGTGGATGTTTTTATTCCATAGTCCCAAAACTGATATGTCACTTTTTTTCGTTGTCAAAGATTAAGTATTTCATCCGTAACAATAAAAAGATTCCAATCGATGATCTTCGGCCGACTAATCATCACGTTAAGCTAATACTTGACATTGACAAAACATAACAAAAGATGAAAAAATTTATATAGAATGTACATATAACGAATAATGAAATTTTTTAAAAATTTCCTTCAATAAAAATAATAATGATTTATATCTTTTAATTAAATCGATTTGATGATGATGTTTTTGATTTTTATTAAATTTTCAACAATTTATTCGATTCAATTCTTATCATAATCTTTTCGGAAGAACAGTTTATGAAAAAAAGGATTGAAATATTAGAAAAAATAATACAAAATTCGTAACTGGAAAACAATTCTTTTATCTTAGTTATTTTAAAAATTCATCATATAATTCTATTCGATGGAACTGATTACCATTCAATCCAATAGGATTCTATAGCAACATCCACGTTCTTATGAATTCTTTTAAAATGCTTTTTTTCTTTCATTGAAAAAATGATCCTCCCTTGTTTTGATACAATGACAACGACAATCAATGGTGATGATGATGATGAAAAAATGGCAAAGTTATAACGATTCCAATCTATTGTGTATGAAGTATAAATATATACAATTTAAGAAGATTGTTTTTTTTTCGAAAGAAAAAAAAAAGTTTGATGTGGAAAAAAAATGAAAAATCTTCCTTAGAATTGATTTGATTTTCATCATTTCTATTATCTTGTTTTATTTTTATGAAATAATTCTATGCCTTTTTATTACATTTCCCGTTATCTACGTTCGACCAGAATGAACGAAAAATATAGACAGGACACAATGATGATGATGATGGTGGTGGTTTTAATTTTTGCGGTTTTTGTCCTAAATTTTCATGCTGTTATTTTTCTTGTGTCATCATTGTTGTTAAAATGTCATGTGTGATTTTTCTTTTATTCTCTGTCTTAGTCTTTTGTGTTTAATTTTCATTCAATCACTTGATGATGATTACGATGATGTTCTGCTTTCCTAAGAATTCATTTTTTTTTCTTTGCTCTTCACTTCATTTTTTTCTTTACACATTTTATAGATTTTATTATTCCATCATATTCCAATGATAATGATACGATAATAATAATAATAATAATAATGATCCAGCTAAAATTGATCAAAGCACGGTGCATCACCATTCGTTTGAGGTTGTTGTCGGTCATGAACATTTTAATGGATGGAATTTCCTTCTTTTTTTTTACTTCAATTATTTTCATGCATTTTTTTTGTTCCCGGCAAAAGTGAAAATTTTTTTTTTATTTTTTTGGTCAAATCGGATGTCCTTTTCCGTTTTTGTTTATATGTGTGATGTGGTTATTTTCAAAATAAAATAAAATTCTATTCAGAATAGGACAAAAACTCACATTAGTTTGAAAAATTGAAAGTGAAGAATAATTTATATCATTATAGTCTTGTTGTATTTTTCTTCAATGTTTTTCGGGTACCAAAAAATATGATATAAAATTTTTTTTGGGTAAAGTCAATTTTTTAAATAGTCTGATCACGTAGAATAAATGTGTCTCTGTATGTGTGTGCTTTTGTATTTCCGACTTTATACAATATATTGTATGGTCGGGAATCATTGCTAAAAAAATGCCATAATTTTTCATGTTCTTTTTCATTGTTTTGCTCACTCTTTTTTTTTCTTTAACTATCATTACTATTATTATTATTTTCGTAACATTATTATGTACAGAATATTCTTCGATTATTTTCTTCTTATTCGGATCAACATTCATGTTTGTTGTGCATTCATGTACACAATATCTTTCAACGTGTTATTCCATGTTGTTGACTTTTTTTTCCTTCTTTTTTGTTTTTCTTTTTTTTTCCTGTTTCATTTAATGTTCAATATCAGGTGATGATGATTATCTTCTTTATCTGAACATTTTATCATTTATCTTCATTAAAATAATAACAATATTCTGATATTCTTAATTTCCTTCATACATCATCAAGTATGAAATCATGGAAACAATTTATAAATGGATATTTTAAAAAAATCAATGAAATCTCATTAACCTTATTGATTTTTTCTTCTTCCTTTTTTCTTCTTACTTTTACTAATGGGTTCATTGAAATTTTTAAGGCGTTTACTGTTAATTATTTTGTATCTATTAGATTTTCGTATAAATTCATTGATTTAGATCATTATTCAGGATTTCAATTATTATTATTGTCATCTTTTTTTCACGTTGCTTAGAAATTATTTTATCAAAAAAAAAGAAAAGAAAATTTTCGTACTTTCGAAGTTGAATAACCAATTTTTTTTGATATTTGATCATTGTTATTCGTCGTTCCAAATCATTTTGTTTGTTCAATGTAGCTTGACATTGATGGCATATGTGTATTGGGAAAAACTGAATAGCATAATTATTATTGGATTGAAAGCAGAGGAGAAAAACCGTTGGAAATATTTCAATTAAAATAATTGTTTCAAACCATCAATAAACAAACCTTAAATGGGTAATAATATGAACATATAAAACTCTAAATGTGATCGGATCTAAAAACAAATGAGGATTTTATATATTTGACAAATTGCATGCACATTTTTTATATTAAAAAAAGCAAAATCTAATAGTTTATGGATCAGCAAAACTGGCGGCCATTGGTACCTATGAAATCAAAAATGTGTTCAGAATGTTCGTGTGTGCGTGCGTGCATTCATTCATTCATCCATCGTGGGTGTGTTGTATTCGCTGTGTGTGTGTATGCGTTCATCATATTACTGACTGACTGTGTTGTTAGTGTTTCAAAACTGTTCCCGGCAAACGGTGAAATGAAAATAACAACAACAAAAAACCGATCCAGACCTAAAGCAAACTTTGAATCGTTCGCACTGCTGCTTTTTTGAGAATAATTTTTTTCCAGTTCAAAAAACTAAGCCATTTGATTTAGAGCAAAATTTTGAAACGTTTTTTTCCCGGAAATTTTTATGTTGTACACAGTTTGTTTAAATGTGCTTGTTGTGTATGTGAGGAATTTTGTATTTTTAAGAATTATCAATCTAAAATAAAGAATTTGAATAAGAAATTCAATGATTGTCATCATGATTATGTTGTCAAAGAATATCATTTCAACATTTATGTTCCTATCATCATCATTACAAATGTTTAGAACGTTTCAATTGATTCTAATCATTTGTTGCATCATTCCATGGATTTCATCATCATCATCATCCTTTGATAATTATTTACATAAACATTATCACAATAATCATCATCATCATAATGATGAAAACGAATTAAATCATTATCGACAACGTAATGATTATTTGAACATCGAAAATGATGATAATGATCATTCATATCAGAATAATATCTATGATCGTATACGTAAACATCCACGTTCATTAATTGATGATGAATCGACATCATTTTCATTAGTAGCAGATGTTCATGAAACAAACCTACCGGTTTCGGATATTAGTGTACAGCCAGAATTGTCATCATCAATAATCGATTTCAATTATATTACGATTGGTGAAAATAATAATAATAATAATACCGATGATATAAATCATTTGTCAACAATTGGTATTGATGGTGATGGTATGTGATTATTATTATTATTACGAATAGCAAAAATAAATAAATAAAATTAATTTTAAACGATATTGAACAAAAAAAGAAAATACCAGATGAATTTATTTATGGAATTTTATTATTGTCAATAATGTTGATGAAATACAATACACAAACAAATTCATTGAATAAAGGCCACAAATAGAAACGTTTAGCCATAAGAGAATTTTCATGAAATACCACAGAAAGAAGAATAGATGAAAATTTTTGAGATTTTCTTTTGTGTTTTGCTTCAAGCATCTCTATTGTTTTTATATATCATTGAAGCATTATCATATTGTTTGAATGAAATAAAATTCAATTTTTTGGCTTTGTTTCCCCTCAAGGCGGTTTTTTTTCATTGACCATTCATTGCATAATTTGTTTGCTTATTGATATCAGTCCATTCAATCGATGATAGAACCATTTTACATTCACATTTGTTTTTTTTATTCGTCAATAATCACAATCACTATTGATTCTTTTATGATCAGCCATTTGTGAATACAGAATTCAAAGTTTAAAAGAAAAGAATAAAAATGACTATATCAACAATGATTGTTGACTACTGCCCCCCATCAAATTAAAAGAGAAAAAAATTCAATAAAAATTCAAAAATAAGTAACAAAAAAAGTTGAAACTAGAAAAAGAAATTTGCAATTCAAATCACAATGAACATAGAAATGCCAAACACACTATATTTTATATAACCGCGGGTAAACCAAAAAAAAAAAACAGAATAAAAGAAAGAAAAATGAATGTAAAAAACTATATCAGCATTATCATTTGTAATTCTAAATTGAATATCTGTAGGTTTAAAAAACGATCATTTTAAAACACTGAAATGATTTGAATATATTTGGGTTTCCATCCTCTTTTTTTGACTTTTTTCAAAACATAAGGTAACAAAATAAAAGAAAAAGAATTTATTGTCATTTAGCCAATTGAATGCAATGAAGCTGTTAAAGGTATCAATGGTATTTTTTTTGTCGATCATTTGTTGAACAGATTTTCCAATAAGAATAAAAAAAATTATTTTTGAATAAGAAAAAATTTGGAATTCAAATTGAAATTCTTCAGTTCAACGAAAAAAAACCTTGCAAAAATGGTTATTCATCAAAATTATGAAAAAAAAGAATATTTATTCTAGAATCATAAAACCTCTCAGTTTCAAAATGAGAAAAAATTCATCAGAGTCAGTCATTAGAATAAACAATTTGCTTTTTCAAATATTTTTTTTCCTCATTTTCCGGTTTTATATTTTGTTAACATCATCTCTCATTGAACCATTAATAAATGTATAGTTGCAAATGAATTTTTACATCATAATCATTATTGTTACCGTTGATAAAGTCGATTATTTTAGGATACTTTTCATTTAAAAATTTTTCATTTAAATCGAGTTTTTTCACTTGGTTGATGATGATAGTGACATTCAAACATTTTTTCTTCCTTTTAAAAAAATGAATGATAATTTTGACAGTGGTAACACCATTATCATGAATCCTTTTTTTGCAACAAAGAATTCTAAATGGAATTTACCGATTTGTTGTTTTTTATACTCTGTATATGCATTCGTCCATCAGCCTTTGGCTTTCAGTGATAATGATGATGATGATAAAAAAAAGCTCGACAAGTTTAAACAAAAAGGAAACTGAAGTAAAAAGAGAAGCTAAACATTTTTAGTCATTAATGAAAGTGAATATGATAGTGATATGGACAGGCAACAAAAAAAGCCATTTTTTTCTCTTTTCCTTCATTCTTGCGCTTCACTTGACATCCATGAACAGAATAAATTCTATGGAAACATATGAAGGTGGACGGTAAAACAAAAAATATTCAGAATAAATCCATTTATTTGGGGAAGATAAAAAAATGAACGAAAACAAGTTCTATGATGAAACCAATTAGTTGTTGACATTGTGACATTGTATCGGAAATGATAATGTGTTGTTGATGTTTTAGTTTAAACCAAATTCAGTGGTTTTATTTTTCTTGTTAAATGTCATTCATATTTCAATGGTGATGATGATGATGATGAGATTTTATCTAGCTTTTTCTTCCTATTCATTTTTTTCCCAATAAACTGTGCATGAATTATTTTATTTGGTCTATGCCAAAATCATATTCACTATTTATTAAATAAAAGAAAAAATTCAAAAAAGAAAAAGAAAAATTGTATGCCATGAAAACTATTGATTTTTTTCCCATCAATTTTCATTGCCATCATTATGGAATTTTAGCCACAATCGTTAGAATCTTTTTTTTTTGATTCTATATTTTTTTTTTGCAAATATACTCAATGTTCCATTATTAAATGGTTCAAGTTTCACACTTCATTCACATTCACTTTATCATCGATTTCAATAGGCAATATAATCATCATTCAGGCATAGGAATTTCCAATCATGATTCTTTTGTATATGTGTGTATGTAAGATTTGAAACAATCTACGAATTCAGAAAAGTTGAAGCAAATAAAAAAAATAGAATTGAAAAAATTTCTTTTCTTTACCTCCTCCCCCGCACACACACAAACAAACACTAGACAAGCATTTATCTTTCTTTTCTATTCGTCAAAAAAGTGTTTTTCCCGATGATCGAAAATAATTTGATTTTTATTGCCATTACTATACCATCCATAGACTTTTTATACATTATTATTATTATTTGTTGTTGTTGATCATTGATGATGGAACCTGATTCATAAAAAATTGTGTAGAATTTTTTTTTATTACAGTTATATATGGTTCGTTTACCATTTTGTTGTCGAGTACTTTATCAATTTTCAGTATATTTTATTGCCCATCATCATCATTCACATTTATAATAATAATGATAAAAAAAATGAAAATGAAAAAAAAGTAATCTCATTTCACAATGATGATAATGATGGTCACAAAGAATTTCAACAACAACAACAATAGATACAGTTTAGGTCGTATAACAATAAAAATAAAAATTAAAAATTTTAAAAATAAATTTTGAATGCAAAATGAACAACAACAACAACAACAAAAAGTTCAAATAGAAATTTGATTTTTTATTTGAAAAAAAATTCTTTAAATTTTTCCTGTTTAATTTTTCTGATTTGTTGTTTCATTTGTATACATCGTTTTCATCATTATAATCGGTATTTATTTCAAATAAAAAAAATTTTACTTTAGGGAAATGTCTCTTTTACTTTCAAATGACGGTATATTGTTTTCCGTTTTTTTGTTGTTGTTGTTGCTATTTGATATCGTCATTGATGCGGAATTGATTGACTAACTTTGAAAATCGAAATAATAGCGAAAAAAAATTCAATTCAAATCCTAACAAAAAAAAGAATGAAAGAATTTATCAACCAAATGAAATCGAGCGCAAGGATTGAATGATAATAGTAATAAATTCTTTTGTAATGTTCGGATTTGAATTTTCATTTTTAAAATTTTATTTTTCATCATTTTTTTAAGTAAAAAAGAATCTCTCATCTTTCGCCAGAATGCATTCATAGAAAAAAAAAGAAAAATTTGAAAATAATTCAATACAAAGGTGATTGAACAATTCAAATAAATCATTAATGTTCCAAAAATAGAATGAAAATATATTCTCTCTTGAGAGAATGTATTTTTCAATATTTTGTAGGGTTGATTTTTGTTTTGTTTCTCAGGAAATGGACCTTTTTTTTCAATCATCATCATCATCATTATCGAAATTCTATTATTCAAAAGGAATGAATTTTTGTTTTAAATTTTATACATTAAAATAAAATATATATTTGAAAATGGAATTCTGCTTATCAACGAATGCTGTGAATGTATGTACACTAATATGAAAAACATGTATTAAATCGCAAACAACAACAACACTATGTGTATTTGAATGGTCGTTTATCATTTACACATGGACGATTTGGAATAAATAAATAAATACGTTATGTGTTTGTATTAAGTATTTGTTACAAATGCTTATAAACAACAAAAAGTTTAGTGTTCCAGAAAATTTTTCTTCTTCTCTTTTAACTTTAGCATATATTAGAAACGAAACATTTGTTGCAAATAATAGTTATTTTTTAAATATTTTCATCATTATGTGTTGAAGATATTGATGTCTTTTTTTACTTAACTATATATGATTATGGTAACAATAATAATACCACAAAAATGTCCGCTGGGTTAAATGGCCATTTAACCGGAGAAGTAAAAAAAACCGTCACCAACTATGACAATAGTATTATTGATGGCTAACATGATCATCTACAACAACATTAATAATATCCAGTCGATTTGTTTTTCCTACTACTAAACAAGTAATTTAAAGTTATATCATTCAACTTGATTATGTTGAATAAACAGTTTGTCTGGCCAAATAATTCATGACCATCATCATCATCATTATTATTATTATTATTATCATAAGGATTGCATTGTTCCCGTAGGCATCATAAGTTTTTTGTTTTTTACCTACAAGTTTTCATAGCATTTGAAAATCATAATCATTTTTCTTCTGTCACATTTTCAGATCTTGTTGTTAATGATAATTGAATATCTTTGTTTTGTTGTTATCCTGTCAAATTCATTGGAATTTGTTGTTCATTATAGAAAAAAAATAAATGGACCATACACTCAAACGAAAAAAACAAAAACAAATAAACGATAGACTCATCTAGACTTTTTGTGGTGATAGATCATTTATTTGTGCACGAAACTTGACAATGATGATCGTAACCATACATCAAATAACATCGATGACAAATATATTTTTAGCCTATTGAAAGAAAACAAACCATACCTGTCCATATACAATATTATTAATGACCAGAATATTCTTTCTTCAAAAAAAACATATGATAGTGAATGTTGAAAAGAAAATGAATGATAAAAGAAAAAAAATTCCTAGTCTTTTGAACAAAAGTATTGAAGAAAAAAAGTTGAATCAAGTGGCTTATTGAAGTTTTTTCTCTTTCTTCAAAGCCAAATTATTTCCCAAAGAAAAAAGATCGTGTTGATGAAGATAAATTGTTGGTTACTATAGAATTTCTCTATTTCTTTCTTCTTCTTCTTCGATGATGATGAACGATGACGGTGAAAAAAAATTGTCATAGCAATTCTATTTTTTTTATTCATTTTGTTACAAAAAAAAATCATGTTAAAATACTGTGGAATTTTTGTTTGTCTATTTTGAAACATACATAGCCTCTGGTATTATAAATGGAATGCGGTTATTATTGTTTTGTTCTTTCTGTAATGAAAGGGAAAAAGTGTATAGAATAGAATTCTATGGTTGTCGTGCTTTTATTTCCATTAATTCAATAATTCATTGTCCACAGCCTGTGTGTTGGTGTCCAGCAACCGGATTTCCTTTTCTTTTCAATCGGATTGGTATTTTTGCCTTCGGTTACAGTATTTGTTTAAGTTACATTATTTGCTTTTCATAATAATTTTTTTTTTTTTGGTAATTCTCAAGAATTTTGTTATTCTATAGAAATTATTATTTGTTTCAATTTTTGCCTTTGTAATACAAGTTTAAAACATTGTTATTTGAATAATTTCAACAAAAATTTTCAATTCTAGTGTCATCGTGTGCAAATACAGATGAATTCTGATTGTCCATACAAAATAAGTATATCAAAAGAATAAGAATTCACTAAATTTTTATCAAGGGAAAACATATTTTATGACAATTTGTTCGACCATGTCATGTCTTGCATAGAAAATTTACATCATTCTCTATCCATAATATAATAGTGATCGATAATCATTCTTACAATTTTATAAACTTGTAACTAGAATCATATCAATATATGTACTGACCTTTTTTCCTATCAAGACATGTCAAATCTTTTTTTTCTCACTTTTTTCCACGAAAAAAATGTTGTCATACACACATGCATCGAGATATGTTCCAGAATTTTCTTTTTTCTGATTTTCGTTCATTACAACTTGCTTTCGTGGTTGTCATCGTGTTTGTCATTGATTTATGATGACATAAACATTGAATGTTACAAAATTATCTTGTTTCCCCATTTTCAGAATGATGGAAAAAAATCAAAATCCAACAAAACTAAAGACAATATGACAACCTTGTTTTCGATCGGATCCATGTATAGACATGATGTCGAAAGATAGAGAGAAAAACGTTTCCCGTTGAAACGGTTGTTTTTGATGGATTTTCATTTTCTTCATTATTTATAGAGTCGATAAAGCTTCGGATAAAATCGATTCTATCGTGATATTTATATATTGATTCACAAAATTTTCTTTACGCTAACCTACAAAACATCAGATTCACAATGTGTGATGGGTAGTAAAGCTTTGCGAAATTTTTTCTTGTTTCGAGATTAGCTCTAATTTTTGTTTTACTCGCTCCGTTAGTTTCTGTATAAATTGATTGATCGCTTTCAATTTAAAGCATCAATCAGAATTTTGCATAGTAGGCATATAGATTCAATGTGATTACAGCTTTAATCATGGAAAATAAGTTAATTCCGGTAAAATTTGATTTTATGCTTATTTGTTGACTGTGCAAATGAGAAAAAATAAATAATTGATCAACATTGAATAAGAATACTCTGTGTCATCACATTGAATACATTAGATATCAATGTATATAGATTTTTTTTACTGTAACATTATTTTGGTTTAATTCTTTTTGTAATTCTAATTATTATTGAAATATAAATCTGTAGATGACACATCGATTACATATGATGATCGTCTTTGTCCAAGAGATCGTGAAGAAGCTAAAGCTCGTGGCCAATCATGTTTACGTAAATGTAATTCACATAAAGATTGTATATCATCAAAACGTCGTTGCCTTTGTGATGGTCTTTGTGGTTGGAGCTGTATACGACCAGGTATGTGCGGCCAATTTGTTGATCTTATTCACAACCCATTTTTTCTTGAATTCCTTTTAAACATGTTTGAAATTTAATTCAATTTTATTTCTCTATTTTTCTTTTTCTTTTGGATACCATTTTTTCTGTCATTGCCATGTTTAAATCATACAAAAAAAAATTCCTACTGTTGTTGATATAATTCAATCAGATTTAAATTGTGAAGAATTACCAGGCGTCGCTAACAGCCGTTACACATTAACAAATGGAAATTTTTTCCATTCAAAATTAATCTACGAATGTGACCCCGGTTATATTATGTCCGGTACTGGACGTGAACGTATTTGTCAAGGTGATGGTTCCTGGAGTGGCTGGCCACCACAATGTAAAACAAGACGTATGTATTTGATTCATTTCATTCTTTTGTTTTCCTGTATATTTGAATTAGATTATTTCCGATAATTTTTTTTTGTATTCTTTGGAATTTTTCATTCCTCAATGTTGATGATGATAAAATTTCATTTTTCACTTTCTTTTTCATATATATTCACGAATGAATCTCATGAATTAATCATTTTTTTCGCTCTTTTTTTCCTGATTTTATTTTTCATTCATTCAATACCCTACCACCATCATCATCATTGATAAATTTGTCTTTACACGCCCACTCATTTATCTATCACATTCACTTACGACAACAATAATAATGGAAATTCAAAAAAAAAATCGACAGCTGTTTGTGGAACGCCACCATTCATACCACATTCAAAACATTCCGATTTAGTTGGCACCGAATTTGAGCTAAATAAAACAGTTACATATGAATGTTTCAATGGTTATGAACCAAATGGTTCAACTGAAGCCGTATGTGTCCATCGCAATGATACCGTTTTTTGGTCGATCGATTTAATTTGTGTTCGTATGTATTTATTATTGTCATTATGATTATAACTGCCATATGATATTTTTCAACAACAAAAAAGAAATTATTATTTTATATTCCAACCAAAACATTAGCATTATTATGAAATAAATTCATTTCATTTCATTATATCAACATAAAATGGGATTATAATGCAATTTTTAAAAAATGAATTCAATTCAATTGAATTAGATGCTTTTTTCAAATGAAATGAACTCGATTTGAACACAAAGAAAAATTTAATTTAAAATGATAATTTGATAATGTTCCAACATCAAATATTGCTTTCTTTTTTTCATTCATGTTTTCTAACTTTTTTTCATTCCAATTTTTTCCAATTCTATATTGGTAAGGTAAAAATTGTGGTGATCCAGGAAATATTGAAAATGGTTATCGAAAAATATCCGGTTATGTATTCACATCGAGTGTTAATTATTTTTGCAATGATGGTTATATATTGGCTGGACGTGCATTGCGTTATTGTCAATCGGATGGACATTGGGGCGGAGAATTACCTGTATGTAAACGTAAGTATTTGTTTAAATAAATGTTTTTATGTTGTTCAAACGATTCCGGAAAATGAAATTCATTTTCCGGAAGTATAAGATTCACATTTTTTGATTTACAATACTTATGCATTCAATTTTGTAGATCGAAAATTAATAAATAGAAAAAAAAAATTAATAATAACTTTTATATTTGTTTTTCATATTGGTATGATGAAATCCATAATGACTGACTTGTATTTACAATATGTGGTTAAACTTTTTGATTTCGAACAAAAAAAAAATCAATAACAACGATAACAACCAACAACAACAGCTGTAAAATGTAGCCAACCGAAAGATCCACAGAATGGTCGAGCTTTCTATGACAATTATACCTATGGTTCAATAGTTAAATATCAATGTAAAAGTAATTTTAAACTTCATGGACCACAAAATCGTACATGTCAATCGAATCGTGAATGGTCGGGTGATGAACCAGACTGTAAAAGTTCGTAAAAAAAATAAATTTTTTTCAAATAAAATGATAATGATTGAAAATCAAACGAATGAAATCTTTTTTTTTTCATTCTTTCAATCATCACATCACAGTAATTGATTGTGGCCAACCGGATCCATTTCCAAATGGTTACATTGAAATTCAATCAACAACGATCGGTTCGACAATTTATTTCTATTGTTTTGATGGTATGATTTTTGATGGCCAATATACAAATAGTACATGTACAATAAACGGTACATGGAATCCATATCCATTTCCCAAATGTATGGGTAAGTACATTCGGCATACTTTTTTTCCTATTCATTTTAGAATTATTATTATGGTTTTGTCGTGCAAATCTACCCCTTTATTGTTCTTTATATCTATCGAAATCATGTTTTATTGTTGTTGTTGTTGTTTTTTTTTGGATTATTATTCTTGTCATCATCGACGGTTATTGTTATTTGTTCCAAGAATATGGAACTTGAAATGATTTCTAGAATGAAAACAACAACAAAAAATGATAAAAGATAGGCGATAAACAAATTGGATTTTGGTTTTGTTTGTGCTTTAAAACCAATACTATATATATGTTCTGAAGCAAATAAAATAAAAATAATGATGTTTCAATTACTATCACCGTCAATGATCATTATTATTGTTTTTCTTTACTTTTTTTCTTGTTATTTGTTATTGTTCGTGCATTTCACTTATGTTCCATTCTGGACGATGATGATGATAATAATCATAATACATTCCTGGAATACTTCATACTCATAGCTCCATGTTCTGTACCACAAATTATCAATGGTATGGTTGAAAATCTACCACCACGTACAAAGATTCAACATGGCCAACCAATAAACGTGACATGTATACCAAACTATGATCTAGCATATCAATCTAATCCTATTGTTTGCTATAATGGTAGCTGGTCACAATCACCAAACTGTGTACCAGGTTTGTTAATTCTTTTAAAAAAATTAAATAATTCAAGCCATAACAACATTGATTATGATAATAAATTTTAATTTTTTCAAATTTTAGCACGATGTAAAAAATTACCATTACGACCAAATAATGGTTTTGTCGTTGCACCAAAAACCGAACATGGAATGCGTGCCCTTTTCATATGCAATGATGGCTATATACTTGAAGGACCAAATATTACATATTGCCATTTTGGCGTTTGGAATATAACGTCGCCAACCTGTAATCCAAGTAAGTGAGCAAAATCATTAAAAAACATGATTATTTTTTTTGTATACTTTATACAGCCATAAGTCAGTTATGAAATTGAATATTAGAATATGATAATAATTAATAATATTTTCATGTAGTTTATTGCCCATTTCCTGGCTATATTGACAATGGAAATGTTATGCTTGTTGGTCATATGGGAATGTATGATTATCGTCCATATATAAAGCATGTCACCAATAATAGACAAATAATCTATGAATGTGATCGCGGATATCATATTGTTGAGGGACCACCAGGTGCTACGTGTATAGATGGCCAATGGTCTCCATCTGAGTTACCTCGATGTGAACTTTATTCACATCCAAAATTATTAAGATGGAACCGTTCAGTCAAAACGTTGATGCGATATAACGAAGAATCGGATACAAATGAACGATATGAACAACAGGAACCAATGACGACCAAATCAAAACCATCACACCAAAGAAGGCGGAAACGTCATCAGAATAGACGTAAGAATTAGCTTACACAAAAATAAAATAAAAATTTCTTATTCTAATTTAATAGCTTCCTGTACACGATTACCGGAAAAAAAGTTGATGAAAATTTCAATCGTACGCCTTGGGAATGGTAATGATACATATCCACATGGAACACGAATACGTTTAGCCTGTGATGATGGCTATGTAACAACAAATCCGAATCGTACATTGATTAAATGTGCCAAAGGACGTTGGAAACCCGAATTACCCGATTGTGTTCCAGCACCGTGTATAACACCAACAGTGCCAAATGCACGTTTTCATCTTCATCGTCGGCTTTTACAACCGGGTGAATTGGTTAAACACGAAAATCGTATTGAGTTTATTTGTGAAGAAGGCTATCATGAACCAGTACCATTGACAAACGTAACATTACGTTGTTCATATGGATCATGGGATTCATTTTCATCGAGTCAGATTTGTGTACCAAAACCGTGTCGTTTGCAAAGGCGCCATCTACCGAATGGATATTATCTTGATCTTACATTCGATACAGACGGAACATATATTGAACATGATAGTCTCGTATCATTCGAATGTTTGCCGGGTTTTAAACCGAATAAAACGGGTGAATATCGATGTTCATTTGGTAAAATTGAACCAGAATCACCTCAATGTATAACGGAAAATTCTAATGTTATTCCTGATCAATCGACAACAGCAACGACACCGCCTTCGCAAATTTATAATGATGGTTCCGTTTCGAGTCGATGTAGATCACCGGAAAAAATCGAAAATGCACTATTTTATTTTGATCAATTACTTAGCCAACGCTTGACATTGATAGGTGTTGCACAAGTAGATCATGTAATGTCCGCATATGATGATTTTAATTTAACTAATGGCCGAAAATTGGACTATCGCTTTGTTCAACAATCATCATTACCATTTGAATATGATCATGGGACGGAAATTGTCTTTCGTTGTGTGACGTATGCATCGAAAATGACAACCGAACAAATTAATGGTGAAAATGATTCGATGGCCAATCAAACAAAACCTACACGAAGTACATGGATAATTCGTTGTGAAAACGGTAACTGGATTGGACGATCATTTGAATGTGAAAATGATTTCATGGAAATGGAACCTGAAGAAAAAGATGAACTGATAATAAAAGAATCGAATGATTTGAATCTATTTCATAGTATTAGTGGAAATGGTTCATGTATGGCCTACACAAATGATTCTAATATTCGAATGTATAATGGAGAACAGATCATTTCAAATGGAACATTCTTTGCGCACGGAACAATAATTAAAATAAGTTGTTCAGATATTGGCCGTTATCAATTGATTGGACCAAAAGAACGATTCTGCCATAATGGTATCTGGTCACGTAGTGATCCATATTGTGCCGGTCTTTCACAGGAATATGATTATTCTTGTAAGTTTTTTTCTGTTGTTGATAAATTAAAGCAAAATCTAGAAATTTTATATTAAATTTTCAGTGGATAAACCGCCAACAATATTATTTCGTAATCAACTTGGGCCAATTGCTCAATCATTTCAAGGAAAATTGATTGTTTATCCGGGAACAATTTTACATTTAGATTGTCTATGGAAACGTAAATATGGTACACCGCAATGGTCTTGGAAATTGGCACAACGTCAATATCTTCAATGTGAGAAGCGCCTTTTAATTTAATAATGTTTTTTTTGAAAATCAAATTTTTTTCTTTGAAAAAAAATTCGCATACAGATTGGACAACCGATTCTTCGTTAGAATATCGGCTAACCATTTTTCATGCCCAGGAAAGTGATTCTGGCCTGTATACATGCCAGACGCCTAATCTACATATACATACGATCGAGATTAAAGTTTTAGGTATGGAATCATAAATATAAAAAAGAAAAATAATCGATCAATCATTATCAATCTTTAAATTTATCATTCTATAAATGAAAAATATAGCAATTCATTGTCCTAATTTAAATCTGACATCTGCGATGGTCAATAATGCTGATTATATAGATGATAGCATTGATGCAAATTCGACAAATTCTACAACAATAATACCGACAATGTCAACATCATTATTACGTATAGCTGAAACAATAACTAACGGAGAGAATAATAATAAAATGGGTACAATGATTCGTTTTGAATGTATACTTGGTACCAGTTTGGTTGGTTTGAATTCAATACAATGTTTGCCCAATGGTCAATGGTCAGATCCTATTCCCACTTGTAATGGTAAGTGTAATACAAACAAAATATATTCAACATTTTAGAAATTCTTTCATTTTTTTGATGAAAAACAAAAGTCACACAATGTTATGATCTGTCGTCAAATTTAACGGCCATCATACAGCAAATGAATCAATCAAATAATGTAGAATTGCAAACATCACAAAGAAATTTGCCCAGGATTGAACCAGCACAAATTGTCGAAATGAATCGTACTATTGGATCAAAAGTTATATTCACATGCCCACGTGGTTATGGTCTACAGGGTAGTAATCATGAATTAGAATGTCTACCATCCGGTCATTGGTCTGGATCGATTCCATATTGTCAAGGTATAGTATTGTTCTTTTTCTCATTATCATGGAATTTTTTTGATTTTAACTTTTACTTAAAATAGAAGTTCGTTGCGGTGATCCGATGGTACCAAAAAATGGCTATATTGAAGGCATATCAATGGATCAACAAATGAATGTCTATTTTGCCGGTGATATTGTTCAATATGCATGTAATGATGGATATATGATTGATGGTAATCCGATATCAATTTGCCAGGAAAATGGACGTTGGTCTGGACCGATTACAAAATGTTTGTAATCATTCACTTCAAAACAAAACAAAAAAAAACAAAAATGATTCTATTTTTATTCATTTAGGTAAACCTTCTTGCAATTATCCCGGTCTGATGCATGGTTCAAGATTAGTTTCGGAAGTGAAATTTTTCTACGAAGTCAATGAAACTATAAATTTCGAATGTTATGAAGGCACAAAATTGAAAGGAAATCGTTCAATCAAATGTATATCTAGTGGTCGTTGGAGTGGTCCAATACCGGAATGTGTTCCTATCAATATGATTTTAGATCAAAATGATAATAATATCGATATCTATCATTAAAAATAGATCTATGAAGAATGACGGAATCGATTTGCCGTGCCTTCATTAATCACACCATCAAACCATTTCTGTTATCATTATTGATTTATATTGATCAATTTGTACAGTTTTGACAAAAACAAAACAAAAAGTTTTTAATTCAATAAAAAAATAAAAACTTCTTTTTAAATCTCTTTCAGTAGATGGCGTACAAAATCGAATGAATTTCATTTCTAATTCAATTGAAGAATGTTATTTTCAAAATGATCGGACAAAAAAAATGTGAAAAATTTTGTCCAAACAAATGAGTTTTTTCACTGATAATTTTCTTATTTAAGAAATTATTCTTTGATTTTATTAGCTGCATAATGATGATTGGATTCAATTTCATGGAATAGATTATAGCCATATAAATAAATTGAATGCAAGATAGAAATAGAAAAAAGTACAAAATTCTTTATTCGAACATTCGGCATGCACGTGTTATTGAAATTTATTCACATCTGAAAATGATAATTCATTGACATAATGTCAACCTATAATTTAGTTAAAATTATGAAGCTAAGAAATTGAAAAATAAAAATGATAACCCTCCATTATTATGTAAGTTTTAAAAAGAAAAAGATTTTTGCTTTAGTTAGTTTTTTTAATGTCTTTTAGTTTCCTTCCTTTCCATATTTTTTCTATATAAAAATGTGTGCGCGTGTATAAGTTTTTTTCTGAACTGAACAATTTGACTTTTGTTTCAGTTTTTCTTTTGATCATAAATTTTTTTCCTTACGTCATATATCGAATTATCATTATCTTTTTTTAAATGGATGATGATATAAGGTAAGTATTTGAAAATTCTGGTCTAAACCAGTTCATAATTGCTGTTTATATAACTTAACGTGTGACAGTTGTTTTACAAAGTTAGTCGGATGTTTATAGGTGCTTGTATTTTTTGTTTCTTACTGAATAAATAAATCCTTATAACCTTTTTTTCTGTCGTTGTTCTTGTTTGTTATGTCTTCATATATTTTATGACCGAAAATAAAAAAAAAAGAAGATAAAAAACGATCCAGACAATGGAGATAAACAAACCTGACAGATCACATGGGTGTGAGTGTGTGTATGTTTATGTACCAAGGTCATATGACGACTCTTTGGTTCCAACAAAAAAGTACAGGAAAAAAACATCTGTCCTTCAAGGACATTTATACGGGGATGTTTGCGTATTCGGGTATAAAATACCGCTAAATAGAATTTTGCTACATCATTTCGCGCTTGCGTTTATTTACTGAATTTCTATAGAAATGCCATGCGTTATATTTTTGATTTGTGAAATGGATTTTTTTTTCCATTCAGCATTCGAATGATGATAGCCAATTCTGGGTCAAATTGTTCACACATTGCAACAATTTTAGTTTCACTTTCGATGTATCAATCGGTCACGATATCTTATGCAACAGTATTTCATCTATTATCTAAGCCACTGCCTACCGTCGAATTTTCGCTGTTTTTATCTATTAAATGATGAGGGTGAGGTTTCTGTCATGATGATTTTTTTTCTTTTTTTCACTAACACAATTTCATTTTTTTTCAGTTTGTTTTGATGTAATGATGATGTAAAAGTATGTTATGAATAGCAGCAGTCTAAAGTAATGTGGAATGAGGAATTAACTGGAGCTAATCAAACAACATTTGTTATTTTCCATGGATACTATTATGCCACTACCATTGTTGAATGTAATGGTTTTTTTTCGTTTGCTTCTCATGACCAAGTTCTAGAATTTGTACCATTTTTATTTTTGGGACAAAAAGAGTTAATATCATTATTTTCAACATAATAGCAAATTAATTACACTAACCTGATGTGTTTTTGTTTTGGGGAAATTTACGAAAAATTAATTTTTGTTTATTTGTTTGTTTGTTTCAAATCTTTCATTCATTACCTCTACTCCAAAATAGTATTTGGGAATTCTTGACACTGCTTATTTTGGCACATTCAACAAAAAAAAAGAAGACTTTTACCACTTCTTTTGCATGGCTTCGATAATATATTTTGTTATCGAAGTAATGATTCGTGAATCGATCCGTTTTTACAATAACAACAACAACAGCAACCACTAACCAAAAAAAAAGCATGGATACACAAAATGTCTATCTTAAAACTCCATAGCTTGTTATTGTTTTGTTTGAATCCGCGTGTATATATCATGCATATATCCTACCTGCTGCTATTCTCCTAGCTTTTCATAATAATTTTTATCACAACTTTCTCTTTTCAATATTTATCATTATTTTCAATACTTCCAGCATTTGTTCGTATTTCGTAGTTGGCTAAAAGAAAGTATCTCTCTTTCACTCTCCCTCTCTCTCTCTCCCATACACACTCTATTCATGTTACTCTTCCTCATATAATGTATATCTAAACGAAATGAAGATTTTTTCTTCTTCTTTCGCCGTCTCCATCTTCTCTCTCTCTTCATCCTGAATTGACCTCGACCGACATAAGGACATAAATAATAATCAAATCATAACAACAACAACCAAGATTATTTAAAAATTCATCAAATTAATAAAAAAAAAATTGGATTTATTTATTTTTTGCTTTTTTTTTCTCTTGATAGATAATCATAATCATCGATCATATATAATCTATAATAAGTGTATGTGTATTTTGTTGATTGTGGTGGTAAATAAACAAATCTGGAAAAATTTTGCAATCTCAGAACCTGTGTCCATGTGTGTACATGGTGTTGATATATTTCGGTGTGCTCAAGAATCGCTATGACTAATAATAGTGCGTGTGTTTATGAATTCAAAATCATTCGATTCCTGTTGTTTAATCTTCGATTAATTGGTTAAATTTTTTTACTGTTTATAGTTGTTAAGTTTTAAATTTCAACAAATCTAAAATCCAAACCGCATTATTTTGATTCACTTTTCATCATTTTAAATGTTCATTTTATTGTCATCATCATCTATACATTTCAATCAAAATTCCTATCATATCGAAATATCCAAGTAACTAATTAGATTGAATCAATTTGATAATAATGAAAAATCCTATCCATTATCATTATTGATCAAAAAAAAATTTTGATTTGGAAGAAAAAAAATATATGATATCCAATCGAATCAATTACATTATTATCATTATTATATCAAATCATCATTGTTTATAAAATAAATTATCGATTGAAAAAACATCAGACAAAATTTTCGACCGATTTATTGAATTTTTTTCATCATCATTTTTTCTGATGTCCAATTGACGAGGATCCAAATAAATAAAAAAAATATCCAAAAAGAGAAAAAAATACATAAATACACACAAACACACACATTTACGAGAACAATTCATTGAAAAATATCTCTATTCATTCTCTCAATGTTTTGTTTCGATAAACATAACTTTCTCTCCCACTCTTTTCATTGTGTTGATTTAATTCAAAGTGAAACACACACACATATACACATCACATCAAATTGAGAAAAAAAAAATCCCAAAATTATTATCCTCGGTTACACTTGAACTTGAAATTTTTCGTTTTCTCTTTTTTGTTTTCTTTCTCTCACTCTCTCCCTCTTTTTTTTTAAAAAAAAAACATTCATTTTTGATACAATCTTTGATTCGAGGACAAATCGACATTGACTGATATTTGGTGCACATCATTTGTTCGTTTTTTTTTTTGGAACAACAGGTCGGCCATCATCATCATCATCATCATTTCGTCATTTTATCAATTGTGGCATTTCGATTCTCATTTTTATTTTCAGTGTTTGTGAGTGTGTGTGTGTTTCATCATCGTAATCTATTTTATATAAGTGTTCTATGTTGAAAATGTTGTGCAACATTTATTACAACGAAGTTAAAAAAAAATATAATTTATTTTCTGCAATGTCATGAAAATCATGGCCATGGCCATTAGCGAAACTTTTTTGTTTTTTTGTTTGTTTGTTTGTTTTTGTTTCACATTGATTTTATTAATCGATCTCTATTGATATCATTTATTATCGTTATATAATTAAAACGAAAATATAAATCATTTCAGTTATCATCAGTTGTATTGTTTTCATTGCATTAATAAATGTTTGAATATTTTTGTTTATTGATCAAGTTTCCGGTCAAGAATTGAATTGATCTTTAATCATTTGTTTTTTATTCAAGAATTTTTTTTTGCAACTATCAACATTGAAAAAGTGATCAAATGTCATCGATTACCACAACAACAACGTCCGCTGATAATGGCGGTGTTGTTGTGGGAAACGTTTCAAATCATCAACAAGATAATTCTGAAAATTCATCATCATCATCAACAACCAAAATGATAATGATGATGATGGATTCAAATAATAATCCCCAACAACAACAACAACAACAAAATGATCAACAATCATCGAATGTTGAACGACAAGAATCTATTGTTGATGACAATGATGATGAAATGATGGATGAATCAAATCCAATCATAACATCAAAGGAAATGAAATGTATCGATTCAATAATGAATACACAACCATCAAGAATAATGCATACCTCAAATGATGATCATTTTTGTTCTTGTTCATTCAAGTCGAATGATAATAATAATAATGATCATAATAATGGATCGAATATTAATAATGATAATAATGATAGTCAACAATCATCATCATGTCGATTCTGTGGAAAAATTCAATCAAAAATGAATAATTCTTCTGAAAAATTATTGATAACTAATAATAATAAAATTAACGACAATAATAATGATATTGATGATGATGATGATGATGAAAATGTTGATCAAAAATCATCATCAACATTAGTAAATGAATTAAATTTGATCAATAATAGTAATAATAATCAATCATTAATTATCATTGAAAATGATGATAATCATAAAAGAAAAACCAATATATCAACAATAATTGATATTCAAAATTCTCAAATCAATAATGATGATGAAAATAATAATAAAAATAAAAATAATTCTAATGATAATAATAATCAACAAAATCATAATAATAATGATGATAAAATGTTATTAGGTAAGTTATTTTTTTTTTCTAAAACAAATCAGTGAAATATTTGTGTGAAATGATTTTAATTTATTGACATAACTTATTTATATAGTTTATCATATCATATATTGATGTGAGTGGGTGGTGTTTGTGTTCCAAATTTCATTTTCCTGAAAGTTCTTATTTCTGGTAAATGATAGGATTTTTTTCCGATCTTGTTTTGTCCTTTTGTTCAAATTAAGATGCACCTGATTCATTTTTTTTCGGGAATTGAAAATTGGTGCGTGAAAAGGAAGTAAAAAGTGAAAGTTAATCTTGTGTGCGCGCAATTTTTTTTCTACTGAATTTTTGGTCTAATTTGTAGAATGAATTGAAAAATTGAATGAACCCAAAAATGTTGTATGTAGAAATTTCGGAGAATTTTTTATTTTCTGGAGCAAATATTATTTTGGAATAAAATGATAATTATGATTATGGTTTCTGTTGAAAAAAACTGTTTTAATAGTAGTGGCCATGTGAACTAAATCTATGTCAATTTTTTTTCTTCTTCTTTACTGATAGATGATGATAATGTATTGGATGGATGGATGTTTGTTTGTATATCTGTATGAAATGAAATGGAAATTTATATGAAAAACAAGAAGCACGAGTCGCTGTTATATATACTGTATATATATGTTCACTACTATTGGATAGAATCTAGGTCAGAGTTCGACATAGTTTTTTTTTGGATATCATATATATTTTAGTTGAAGACATGTTTTTTTTCGTATGTTGCCTCTCTCTATATGTGAATGTATAAGTGTGTGTATGTTTTCGGCTGGTTTCGCGTTTTCACTTTCTACATATCTAAATAACACAGCATATATGAGATTTATATGCGTGAATGAAATTGAAATTCACAAGAAAATTGAAAGCAGTTTTTTCCGTATATATTTTAGGTGAACCTGAAATCACAACAACAAAAAAAATCACAGTGATCGACTTTTCTGATCAAAGCTCACTGTATATTTGTGAGAAAAATCAAATAAACAACAGACAGATGGTTTAAACAACGATAATGAAAAGACTACCATTATATAAACGAAATAGAGGACCTAGGACCTAAGCACCGTACAGTGTATTCGTGTGTGTGTGAATGCGGAACAAACATAACAAAAAAAATCATCATCATTGATAACAATGTAAATGTTTCCCACACATCCAATAATAAATGATGAAAATAAATGAATGAATGAAAGAAATTCGTCTTACGAATTACGGTAGCTTTCTGAGTAATATTTTATTTGGATTTCATTGGGTCAATGATGGTAGCTTACTGAATACCAAGCAAACAGTGATGATGAGGATGAATGCTAGGAAGAAGGAAGAAAGTTTTTTTTCACTTGAATAAGATGAATGGGAAAAAAATCCATGACATATAACCTTATTATTCAAGGGGGAGGGAAACAATACAAAAAAAAACTAGCCGGTGACCAAAACATTGGATAAAGAAAAAAACGACATGTCTCAAAAGTTGCATACGATCGCGTCTCGAAAACAGATCGATTGATCTTTGCATAATAAAGTTTGATCTGAATTTTTTCCGCTTTATCGACATCTTTAATGTCGAAAAGAGGACTGTAATAATGATAAATGTTTTTTTTAGTGTTGTACAATGTGTTGTTTGGTTGACCTGACAGGTCATCGAACATCGACATGCACAAGTGACCCGGTAAGAGATAAAAACCCAGACACCCTCATTTAAAATCTTAGATTTGTATTCAACAAAAGAAAAAAAATGAAATCTGTGTCACTAGGGCCAATATTTTTTTTCTTTTGTTAATTGCTTTATGAAGATTTAACATTATATCTAATTATTTTGATGATGATAACGAATGATTGAATCCATTTCATTTTGAATGACATAATAACTAGAACATACATTGTTTTCAATACTTTAATTCTTAACATGAATGAATCAAAGGATTTATCGATTCTATCGATTATGATGTTCATTACTATAAGATAGAAAAAAAATGAAAACAAAAAATTTCCTAATTAAAGTAAATTATCATTTCAACAGGTGTGTGTATGTATGTGTGTGGTTTGTGATCTCATTTTTCCCGATTGATTTTTCCTCAAAGTCTATGATTTACATAAACACATACAGAAAATATCTTATTCATTCATCATCAAATGTCAAAATTTTATGTTGTTTTTTTCTTTCCTCTTTGTTGAACTAGAAATTTAATCGATGGTTCTTGAAAAGAAAAAAAACCATTGTCGATCGACAATTTTTTCACTGTTGGTTGGTTTGTCAAGATTGGTTGTCTGGATCACCTGTCCAACCAATATAATTTAATATAAATTCATCATTTTTTTTCTCGGTTTCACGGGAATGACCAACTAAAGAAATTATGATTCGTTTCAGGTGCTTGTTTCCCGGCTTATGATTATGATTGATGGATTTTTATTTTTATTTTTCTGGTAGCATCACCGGTTTATTTTCTACTTTATATAACCTATTAGATTTTTTGTTTCTTTTGTTCTTTTGAAAAGTAATGACTAGGTCAAAATATGTCTTTTATAATAAACGTATGCGTGTGAATCCTGGTTTTTATTTTTCTCATTCATTCATCAATGATCAACGCCCTTTTTTTCTAATATTTTTTGTTGTTGTTGTTGTTGTCATCGACACTAAATATCGTGTCATATATACCGGATCATATTGGGTTAGTTGTTCCGTAGTTATGCATTAAATTGGGCGCCATTTTTTCTGTTGTTGTTGTTGTTGTTATTAGAAAATATAATGTTACATGTTGATTGAAATTGGTTACACGCACACAAAAATACACTTAAAAATGATAATGATACACACATTTATGTTGTGAATTGATTGACTAATCCGTTTCTAATGGTGGTTAGTGTTTGACCTAGATTAATAATTATTTGCCAGAAAAATTTTGATTGAATTAAAATAAACGCTGTAAATGACTTTTGAATGAGATTTTTTTTTTGAGTTTTGTTTTGTTTAGTGTGAATGTTTATTGAATGATATCCTGGGTGATAAATATGAGAATTGAAAAAAAAATTTCGTACCAAAAAACATTGATGATAATGTTTGATGGTCGATATCTTTTTTCCGATTTGATATGATTGATTTTTGCTTTTTTGTTTGTTTGTTTGTTGTTGATCGCCTTGATATTTTCATTAGGAAAATATTCTTTTCTTTGTTGTTTGACATATTTTTAAAATGTTATTTTTGCTATGATTAATTAATAAATTTCAAAAGCTTGAAAGTTGTTTTTTCAAACATATTAATAATGTTGATTCTGAAGACGAATGGAAAAAAAATATTAATTTTTATTCAAAATTTTGTGAATGATACATGCTTAAGCTTATTATTTTTCATTTCATATAAATTTTTCTTTCAATTGACAGGTTAGGTAGTGTTTATAAAATGAAATGGTTTTTTTCATTCCGAAGAAAAAAAAATCAAAGAATTAATTGATTATCAAATTGAATGACGCCAGTTTTTCATTTATTTATTCAATATATAAGCTTTATATGTGAATATCAATAAAAACTTTGTGTATACATTGAGAGATGGACGCAAATACCAAAAAAAAAGAAGATGAATAAAAATTCATAAAAGCAATGATGTTTTAAAATGAATGAAAAAAAAACGAATTTTTCTGGACAAAGTTGTTTGTCCAGTTTTTGTTGTTGTTGTTATGTTTGAATTCCTTCATTTTGTTGTTGTTGTTGATATTAGAATTCCAAATTATCATGACAGAGAGAAAAAACGGCATCATCATCATTTTTGGTTGGTTAATTTTTGTTTGAATATATAATATATACATCGATTCGTTGATTGACGAATTATAATAATATTATCATTATATGATTGAAAAGACACGCCAATGGTTTCCAAGGTCAAGATGACTCTTGGTTTGTTTTTTCCAATTTCTTCAATATGTTTTTGTTTGTTTGTTTCGGCTTGGCTTGGCTTGAAATATAAAATTTTTTGACGGGCGCCATATTAACACTATTGTTACTTGATGGATTGAATTGTAAATTGACTTGTATGTGTGTGAGTGATTGAAAAGAGAGAGAGAGAGAGAATGAAAGAAAAAGTAAGAGAAAAATTCTAGTGAAAGTGCTTTCTATCTATCCACAACGAACAAGTTTGACGACTCTTTTTTTATATTGAAAATCCAAACAAGGAAATTATGATTATCAACATAATATAGAAAGAAATGTTGTTTTCGTTTGTGATGAATGAGAGAAATGTAAAAAAAATCTTAATAAATACGCGCCAAAAAGTTTTCCATTTTAAATAACATGTTCAGCTTTTTAATTACAAATAATTTTGCTGTGTTGTTGATAATAATTATAACCACTTACGACATCTGTTGGATGTGATTTGAAATAATTTTTTTTATTCCTTCCTTCAAATTCATAAAGAAACGAATCAAATTGATTGGTTTTCTGTTTCGATTTTTTTTTGTTGCTTTTTTTGCTTGTTTGAGTGTGTGTGTACAATGATGACGATAACGACTACGTATATATAACCTGACCTAGTTTCTTTATTATTATTCCTCAACGAAATATTCTATATAAGCTAACTATAGAATTTTTTTGTTTTGTTTTTCAATTGGAAAATATAAAATAGAATTGAATACAAAAACATATACACAAATTTTACAGTTGAACTCAAACCATTCCTTAACGATTACATTGTTGCTATTTGTTATACCAAGAAAGAATTTGGGTCAAATATTTTACTCTAAAGAACCACACGCAAAATAAATGTGAAAAATTTTCAAATAGAATTCTCGTCATTACGGTGAATTTACCTTTTGCAAACAAATTTTGATTTTTTTTGGGCGCAACAAAACAATCAAGAAGTTTCATTTTTTTCACCTATAAATGGTTTTTGTTCCTATATTATATTAATCAATTCTAATTGAATATTGATCATCATCATCATCATTAATTTAAACTCATTTTATGATATTTCAATGACTGAAATATTTTTGTTA